GGTGCTGCCTGGGAAGAGGGAGCCCTGGTCAGTCTCCCGTGGGGACCTAAAGGCCGTAGAGGGAGGCTGGGCAGTAGCAAAAAAGGGGGCTCCTGCCAGCGACCCCGCGGGTTCTTCTTGACCTCCCTGCCCCATGGGGGGTGGCGCGGGGCCTGGCAGTGCCCACGGCGGGGCACTCACTCCGCGATGGCCAGCAGGTGGCGGGACACGTGGGCGTGCAGCTCGATGCTGGCGTCCTCCAGCTCCACCAGGCTGCGCCGCATCTCCAGCTGCTCCTTGAAGGCCCCAAGGAGCTGCGCCCGGATCTCCTGCATCTGCAGGCGGCTGTCCTCCGAGTCCTGGGCGGGCATCGCGACTGGGGGCGGCAAGAGAGCCGGTGGTACCGAGAGCCGGGCCACCGACGCTGGGGCCGAACCCTGTAGACGTAACTAACTACGGATTTGCAGGGGCGCTCGCTCTCGGCCAGCCCAGGCCGTCAGCAGCTCCACGGGACGAGGGACCTGGTTTCTTCAGGAATCAAAGGAAAACCAAAAACAAGGGGGGGGGGCAGGGAAAGCCGGGAGAATAAAAGAGACTTAAGAGACTATGAGCCGCATTCAGGGCGTGGAGCTTGGGGGGATCAAAACCCACAGCGGGCGTCAGAGATTTAAGTCATTGACGAGGCTGGACTTTTGGTCGCTGGCGGTGTGAACGGATGGTTGTGGACATTTTTTAGGTGTGGAAATGAGACGAGTTATGTGTTTCTAAGAGCCTATCATGTGGGGAGTGTGCTGACACGTGTGGGAATGAACGATAGGGTATCTGGAGTTTGTCTCCGGATAACGGGACGGGACTGGGAGGACAGGAGGGGGAGTGGGGCAGCGGGTCCTAGGAGGGTTGGCCCGACTGTCCTTCCTCCTTCCATCAGTATCTGGATTCCCAGCAAACCCACAGCGTTTCTCAGGCCCTCCTTCCCGTGGCAGCCACAGCTGACCACCGCGGCCACCCCGGGCCCCTCCCTCAGCGCCTGTCGTGTTCTCCAGGCAGAACCACGACCGGGACAAGCCTCCATGTCCCCGGCAGAGACTGGAGACAAACCCACTGCGGGACCGTGCGTCTCGAGGCGGCTTTCAGCACGTGGCTCCCCTGTTCGAACCCTCAGGGGCCTCCCCTCGCGCTCAGGACAGACCCGGCCCCTGGTCATCGACTTCCCGGCCTCATCTCCCACCACAGGGGCACTTTCGGCTCCTGGAACTCACCAGACCCCTCCCCACCCCAGGGCGGCAGAGTCACCCGAGGCACCGGGTCGGAACCGGGCTCTACCTTGCGTGTCCCGGGCCCCCTGTTCGCTTTGCTTCTGTTCCTGCCTCTCAATTTTGGACTTGAGGCGCACGATCTGCCTGCGCAGGTCGGAGATCACGTCCGTGTACTGGTCCAGGTGGTAGGACACGGTCAGCAGGTTGCGCTTGACCTGGTGGGCGGGACACACCCAAGGTCAGGGCCGGCGGGCTGCCCCGGGAAGGAAATGCGTTAACAGCCGTGTATTTGTGCCAGAAACACGCAAACAGTCTTGCTATTAAAATTCAAATCCGGCCCAGCTGGTGCGGCTCAGCTGCACCAAAAGGTCGCTGGTTCGGTTCCCCGTCGGGGCACATGTCCAGGTTTCAGCTTGATCCCCAGTCGGGGGCGTGCAGGAGGCCGATCGATGTGTCTCTCTCGTTAATGTTTCTGGCTCTCTCTCCCTCTCCCTTCCCCTCTCTGTAAAATCAATAAAAATATATTTTTAAAAAATTCAAATCGGTGATACTCAGCCCTAAAAAGAAGGAAACTGACACATCAAACGTTGGGGACATTGTGCTGAGTGAAATCAGCCGACACAAAAGGACACATGCCGTCCGCTTCCACTCGTAGGAGGGACCCGGAGGAGGCACGCTCACAGGCAGGGCGTC